TCCCTGCACACAGATCCTTACACACAGATCCTTACACACAGATCCTTACACACAGATCCTTACACACAGATCCCTACACACAGATCCTTACACACAGATCCTTACACACAGATCCTTACACACAGATCCCTGCACACAGGTCCTTACACACAGATCCCTGCACACAGATCCTTACACCCAGGTCCTTACACACAGATCCTTACACACAGATCCTTACACCCAGGTCCTTACACACAGATCCTTACACACAGATCCTTACACACAGATCCTTACACACAGATCCCTGCACACAGATCCCTACACACAGATCCTTACACACAGATCCTTACACACAGATCCTTACACACAGATCCCTGCACACAGATCCTTACACACAGATCCTTACACACAGATCCCTGCACACAGATCCCTACACACAGATCCCTACACACAGATCCTTACACCCAGGTCCTTACACACAGATCCTTACACACAGATCCTTACACACAGATCCTTACACCCAGGTCCTTACACACAGATCCTTACACACAGATCCCTGCACACAGATCCCTACACACAGATCCCTGCACACAGATCCTTACACACAGATCCTTACACACAGATCCTTACACCCAGGTCCTTACACCCAGGTCCTTACACACAGATCCTTACACACAGGTCCTTACACACAGGTCCCTACACCCAGGTCCTTACACACAGATCCTTACACCCAGGTCCTTACACCCAGGTCCTTACACCCAGGTCCCTACACACAGATCCTTACACCCAGGTCCCTACACACAGATCCTTACACCCAGGTCCTTACACCCAGGTCCCTACACACAGATCCTTACACACAGATCCTTACACCCAGGTCCTTACACCCAGGTCCTTACACACAGATCCTTACACCCAGGTCCTTACACACAGATCCTTACACCCAGGTCCTTACACCCAGGTCCTTACACACAGATCCTTACACCCAGGTCCTTACACACAGATCCTTACACCCAGGTCCTTACACCCAGGTCCTTACACACAGATCCTTACACACAGATCCTTACACCCAGGTCCCTACACACAGATCCTTACACCCAGGTCCTTACACCCAGATCCTTACACCCAGGTCCCTACACACAGATCCTTACACCCAGGTCCTTACACACAGATCCTTACACACAGATCCTTACACCCAGGTCCCTACACACAGATCCTTACACCCAGGTCCTTACACAAGCATGGGCAGGGCCCCGGGTGCGACCCAAAATCAGCTTGAGCCCATCCTAAATCCCTCTGTGACTCAGGGGCTCCACTCCTGAGCTGCCCCCAGGCTCCAGCTCCCCTCGCTTGGCTCCGTCCATGGCGGTAGCGCTGCCTCCTTGGACGGACCAGGAGGACGATGGCCCCATCCAGCTGCAAACCCGCGCCCTCCGGGGCTGCAGGGGGTGAGCCTCAGGAGCAAAGCTCCC